GGCGGGGCGGGAGGAGGAGGAGGAGGGGGCGGCGGCGGGGCCCGGCAGGGGCAAGCCGAGCCCGGCGCCGACCGGGACAACGACGCGCCGCCCAAGAAGCGACTCAAGCTGCCGGGCGGGGCCGAGGGAGGCGGCGGCGTCAAGCTGGAGGAGCGGCTCTACTCGGTGCTGTGCTGCACGGTCTGCCTCGACCTGCCCAAGGCCTCCGTCTACCAGGTGCGCCCGCGCCGCAGGACGCCCCCTTCCTCAAACCCCCCCCCCCACCGAGAAAAATGGGGGATGCGGGGACCGTTCACACGTGACGTCTGCGGGGGCCCGGCCGCACGCGTGTCAACGTAACGGGGGGGGGGAGAAAAGGAGCACGAGGCGACACGCGTCCGGGGCAATGTTCCCCTCTAAGCCGTGGAGTCTTGTGAGCAAAAATTCTACTCTGTGAGCTACTGGCATGAAAGTTGTGAACGAGCGATTTGGCTACTGCATAGATTAGTTGGCCCTGGAGTCATCCTTCCTGAGTGAAGACAAAAGTCTGTGAGCTGGAGGCTGAAAACCTGTGAGCCAGCTCACACTCACTCAGCTTAGAGGGAACACTGGTCCGGGGTGGTCAGCCAAGACTGAGCCGCGGTCGATAACGGGCTGCGTTACACGTGTGCGGCCCGGTCTCGGCGGTCCTCTGAAGACGTCCAACCCGCGTCTCTCCTGATGAGTGCGGGGCTCGTTCAGTTTCCCGGGGTCGCCCGCGTGGTTTGACGTCCAAGTTTGTAAAAATGTCTGCCACGGGGGTCCCCTCTGGAATGCGTGCAAAAGACGCGTGTTGGAGGTCTCCTTCTGCGGAAGGGACCAGCCCTGTAGGAAGGGATTTTGGGGGGAGGGAGCCTGGGGGGTCTCAGCTAATTAAGTGCAAGTTAATAATATTAATTCAATTTGGGGCTGGCCGGGGAGAGAGGGGGCCCAGGAGAAATGCTAGGGGCCAGGCCCCACGTTCGCTACGGGCCTGGAAGGGACCCTGTCGCGCTGGTGACGCCGTCACTCAGGCCTCTCCAAAGGGTATGGTGTGTTGGTGAGCGGGGGTCTCTTCATGCATACTTATGGGTGTCACCAATGCTCCCTCTAAGCTGCGGAGTCTTGTGAGCAAAAATTCTACTTGGTGAGCTACCGGCATTGAAGTGGTGAGGGAGCCATTTGGCTGCTGCAGAAAATTAGTTTGCTCTGGAGCCGGGACAAAAATGTGTGAGCCGGAGGCTCAAAAACTGAGCTAGCTCACACTGACTCAGCTTAGAGGGAACACTGGGTGTCACCCACAAGCCACCCATATCGCAGCTGTAAGTATACAGGGATGGGAGCCATTTGAATAACTGTTGGGGAAGTAGGGTGCAGTCTTCAGTGCTGGAGAGGCCCCCCTGTGTTATTTATTAATCCCTTTTGAGTTCATTTGCACCCCAAACGGGGACCCAAAGCAATCTTAATTGTTCTCCTCTCCTCCATTTTATCCTCACAACAGTCCAGAGAGGTAAGTTAGGCTGAGAGGGTGTGACTGGCCCAAGGTCACCTGGCAGCCTTCCAGGGCAGAGTGTGGATTCGAATTTGGGTCTTCCAAATCCTAGTTTGACGCTCTTAGACTCTATAGCCCCGTGGCTCACTTATGGCTATAGAGTATAGTGGAATGGGAGCTGTCTGAGTCACTGTGCAGGTAGGGTGCAATCTTCAGCATGGGAATGGCTTTCGGATTGAGCACCATCACGTTGCGTTCTTTTGTGGGGCTGGAGGAGTCCCCAAAGCGTGGTGGTGGTTCCAGAAAACTGGAAATGTTTATGTTCTTAGGGCTTCTGTCCGGTGTAGGACCGGCACCTGACCTCCTTCTCTCTTCCTCTGTCTGTTTCAGGGGGTAGCCGTCTTGGGCTGCAGAATTTCAGGGGGTGAGCTTTCGAGACTCAAAGCAGGAGCTTTGTTTCTCGAAAGCTGATATGCTGGATTTTTTGTTGGTCTCTCAGGAGCTACTGGACTGGAATCCGCTTCCTGTGTGTGCCCTGCTCCCTGTCCTGGTCACCGATCAGCACTTTAGGCCACTGGCAGGCTTAGCTTATCCACTTCACCAGCTTTGGTCCTGGCCTGACGTCTTCTCTCCCCCCCC